CAGTGACGGGTGAACTGTCTGCAGTGATGTCAGTGAGGGACAGGCTGTCTGCAGTGATGTCAGTGAGGGGTGAACTGTCTGCAGTGATGTCAGTGTGGGGTGAGCTGCCTGCAGTGATGTCAGTGAGGGGTGAGCTGTCTGCAGTGATGTCAGCGAGGAGTGAGTTGTTTGCAGTTATTTCAGTGAGGGGTGAGCTGTCAGCTTTGACATCAGTGAGGGACGTGTTGCCTTAGCAACATCAGTGAGGGACGTACTGCCCACAGTGAAATCAGTGAGGGAAGAATGTGCTTTCTGCAGTGAAGGACATGCTGCCTGCAGTGACGTCAGTGAGGAATGAACTGCCTCTCAGTCATGCCAACTCTTTCATCAGGTTATGTGGAGCTCGCAGCTTGTCGTGAAGTAACAAATGGCTCCAACAGTTGGGTGTGTCAGAGGAGCACATGATCATGCCCTCAATCTTCCTGCACATCCAAGCAGAACTGATGAACGACTGATGATTTATTCAGGGTGTTACTCTGGCTATTTCGAATTCATACAGACAAAAGCAACACCATGATCACCTTCAAAGTATATTGCCCTTGTGGAACCATGGGGAGATAAGAATTAATTAGGCTCATTAGGGACAGAGATCCGATGACATCCCATTCAGCAGCATGGTATTTCTGTGAAACGAGTGTGGCCCCGGTGACCCTCACACCTCTGAGAAAGGAAGAAGGATTAAAACATGAAGAGTCAGGCAGCAAGTCCACACTGTATTCTCTGCAGACCGTCATGATAAGACGAAGTGAAAAGGGAATCTAGTCAGATTAATTATCACTGTAGCAGAATTTAATTAGCACACATGGTGATGCCTATCTATAATTAACTGCCAATCCATTAATTATGAATAAGTCAAAACGCATTTTTAACGGCTACACACCCCCTAGAACTTCATCCAACAGGCATCACACACAAAAAGAGGCAACCGCCAGCCCATCGACGCTGGAGACTCTGAGGGCAAACAGAATTGTTCACAGATGGAGAAGGCCGAGAGAGAAGGGAAACCGACATTGTATTCAGTTGTTCAGCAGGTCCTTTCATCCATGGCGACTTCACCCAGAGTTTAAGATGCAAAGGAAGCTTCTAATAGTAGTGCAAAAGAAAAGTAAACCCCAAAAAGCGCAGAGATAATTCAATACTGGGAGATGTATCTGGTATGATAGGTACTGAAAAACCTGGTTCTCTTTGGATCTATTAACATCCGCTACTTCACAGAATTTCTGTCTCCCATTAATATTTTTTACTGATTTTCAAGTAGTAACTAGCATGATTGTAATCATTTGTAAATTTGTGGCCCCTGTTAAACCTACAGAGGGTCAAAGAGGAACTAAATTCAATTTGTCTTCTTTGGTGACACTTGAGGGTATTATTACCAGAAACGACAAAAATGTTTATTCACATTGCAGCTTCAGTGACAGGCAACTGTTCATCAGATTAAAGTTCCAAGGACTCACAAGTACATCGTGCTTGGGCGCATATGTGCACTCTGGGTGTCAACCTTTGTTTCTGAGAACATTCACGGACTTTCTTCCTGTGATGCCCTCTCTCATATTCCCTTAGCCTATTTTTTTCTTTTTTCTTTCCATCTGTCACTTTTCACAAGATCTCTGCCCTTTTCCTGTCAATGTCTTCTCTCCCTCTGCACCCTCTGTCCCTGAACCGCGCCACTCACCCCAACCCCCAGTGTCAATCTCCAGCTCGCCCGCTCTGAGCACTCAGCAGCACTCAGCAGCCGGAGACATGAAATGAGCAGAAGGAACAGGAACCTTGGGAATCTCGAGTCATGCTGCTGTATGATAGGCACAGATTATACAGTCAAGGCCGCTGCCATCAACCACTGAGGGTGTCTCACAAAAACCCAGGTCAGAAACAATCAGCTGGAAAACTTCATGCACAAAAACACTGCTTACTTCCATCTGTACAAAAAAGCAGAGATGTGGCTTGGTATGTAATAGGCTGAGGTATGATTGAACATTTCTTAAAATCAACAAACTGAGCTGCTGAAACGGGACTTGTGATCAGTAATGTTTTAAATGGCTCAATTTCTCTTTGGTTACAGTTCCTGGGCATTTTCAATAACGGCTTTTAATTCACTGCTACAATCTGCAGGCGCTCACAGAGTGAGGCCTCTGTGGATTAAACAAGAGAGATACTAGGAAAGCAGGAAGAAGCGTGGACAGGGATGGTTTGTAAAAAGCCTCGTACAGTATCTTAATTACATCTCCCTCCCATTCCAGCTGATACTTTCTGTTCCGAAACCTGTGTCTGTATCCTGTTCTTTCTCCTCTCCCCCCCAAAATCAATGATACTTTAACATCCACATTTCAGGGACAGAAACAGAGTAAAACAAACAAGACCAATTACACTGGCTTTCAAGATTCCTGGACTTTTTAAAAAAACAAAGCAGTAGATTTTCAAGGTCACTGAGGAGCCATACAAAACAAACCTTAAAAACATATTTTTTTCCAGTTTTCAGTAATTGGTGTTCAATGTTCTGTACTTCAAAAATGTTCATAAAAATCCTTCCCTAATACACCACAGGGAATACTTTTTCTCTGCCAGACTCGTTATGTCAAATATATACAGATGGAAAAAAGAAATGCAACACCTCCTGCTCCACAATTCCTCCAGTCTGCATGAAACAGGCTGAAGAGTGACTCATCTGTGAAGAGGACCTGATGCCACTGCTGACGAGTCCATCGCAGCCTTTGTCTGGCCCAAGCCAGTCGAGTGTGATGTCTAGGAGGTATGAGCAGGGGGCCTCTGACCTCTAAGGGCAACAGCATGAAGCCTCACTGACCTGTCACTGATGTGGGCATTGTATCTGCGGGCAGTTTCAGCAGCAGTACGGGAGGCAGATCTGAAATGATCTCTCAGATGGACCTGTCTGATGTGTCGGTCCTGCTCTGGTGTGGTCTCCTGCCGGTCTGCTGAAACCTTCTCTTTAGTCAGGACACAGTGGAGCAGCTTACTCCATAGTGTCTGGCAATGCTGGCACATGACATTCCTGCCTGCAGCATGCCAATGGCCCTCTCCCTTGCTTCTAGTGACATTTGAGGCATTATGGAATGCACAGAAAACTGACTAAGTGTGGCCTTTTTCTTGTAGTGACCTAAGCTTTGAATTAAGGTCTTTTTAAAGGTGACCTGATCAGGCATTGTTCCACCTGGACCTTGCTGGGTAAAAGTGCACCTAACGAGCTTTCATGTGAATGGCAAGTTGCAATGCCTCACTGCACAAGCTGTATTGCTGGTCAGAGGGCTTAAAATAACCTGACAACTTTTTGTGAAAGTACATAAACTATAACTATAATATTCTCAATCCAGGAAATGTTGCATTTCTTTTTTCCATAAGTATATTTTCAGCATAGTATTCCAATAAACTTTGTTGCATCCTCACACTAATTAGTATTTGATCAAACTATTGAACTTTAAATTGGAGAATTTTTCATTTTAAAAGACACAATGTCAGCGTAATTAAAGATAAAAAATCAAAAGTAATAGAATAAAGACTCTCCCATTTGTCCTTTTTTGTTGAGAACAGGCGATTCATAGCAACCAGGGGTAATGTGAAGCTGGTCAACAGTGACCCATTATCAGCTCAACTGCAGCTCAATGAACACAACCAATCTCTAGTCTAACCAGTTTAGCATCATCCTTGACTGTTGACCCTTGACACAGTGCTCATTCACATATACTGTAAAACAAAACTTCCAGAACTCACAAATACAGAATTCACAGATGTTAGGGGTCTTCGTCAAAATTTTACATTTTTTTCCATTATGCAATGCAGTCTGTGCAGACTGAGTTAGTCTGAAGTTAGACAGTCACTGTCTGTCAGATAAAATAATTGTGACAGAGGTATATTTGTCTGTTCTCCCTGATCTCCAGTGACAGCTCTGTTTGGAGATGTGAGAGCACGCTGTCATAGAAATGAAAAATGTGCATTCCTGCATGATTGGTGTGTACCTGGAACATGATAAATTTGTGGAGTGGAACTTGGTTCAGTTGCCTTTTTTTACTTTTGTAAAGTGCCTGCAGGACATTTTCTGCCTACAGGCCAATCATGAAAGTTTAACTTTGAATTTCTCATGGTCCAGTGCAGTAAGGCACAGTGAAAGCATGTCGGACCCATGAGAAACCACTGCAAAGCTCCCATGAGAAACTGCAAACAGTAAATCCACAACAAAAATGCAAAATTGTTGTGGTAAATCTACCAAGGTAAACCTTCATTTGGGCTGTTGTATTGTTCTATTTTGTATTGCAGTACATGCATCTACTTTAAATAACTGCTGGGTTCAAAACATGTTTACCGTTAGTCAGATCAGACTATGGACACAAGGAAGTGAAAACACTGGCCAGGACAGTGGTCCATCACAGGGCAGTGGACACACAGACAGGGAACAATTTTCTAAATGCAAAATAACCTGGACAGAATGTCCTCAGACTGTGGGAGAAAGCTCACATTAAAAGTAAAAATAAATTAGGAATAACTAAAATCTGCATTCCTCTTTTTCTGAAAGCATACATGGAAAGATTGGGATGTTTGTTTTGAAGCTCAGTAAATATAGCAGGCTATATAAAGATGCTGAATGGATGCTCAGTTCATTCACTGATTAGTTCAATAAGAACTGCTTGGCTTCCTAAGAGGAAGGAAGGGACATTCTCTGAAAGTCAGACCCTAGAGTCTCTCCAAAAAATTTAGCCACTGCTTTTCTGCTGTGGTGGTGGTGTTGCAGGAGCCCAAACTGTGACAGATTGACCTCTCTCGGCATCCCTGTGCAGTTCCGCTTGGATGGGGGAGGTTCATAAATTCCCGTGGCATCTGTGGAGCTGCAGGAGAAGGCACTGATGGAGGACGTGCGCCACTGGGTTATTGATGTGGCCGAGCGACACTGCCCTCACAAAACAATTTCAGACAGGAAAGCCAGAGCCGTTCAGCTGTGTGCCAGTGCCTACCTACCCAGTATCCTCCACTGTCCTCCTCCTACGCCCTCCCCCACACAACACCTCCAGCCCACCTCTCCTCCTCAGCCCCCGAGCCCTGAAGCCCACTCGCTCAGTCCCACAGCAGCTCATTAATTCCATCTCGCCTCTCTTGTGCCATTCCTAAAAGTAAAGCCAAGACAGACAAAAAAAAAACCAACACAATATCATCCGGCACACAAAGCATCAGTGATTCATCTGATCTTGATTTGATTTCGCTCCACTTTTCTTTTGGAATTTGCGACCTGAATGAAGTGCAGGCTTGTTTCTTCAGTCACGTCAATCCTGGCCTTTTGTCAGGAGTGTTCGACGTGACTCACGAGCTGGAGAAGTGATGAGTGTTGGCTCACACAAATCCCTCTTCCTGTGCCTGCTTGCGTCTCGGGCTGAGTGGAGCTGATTGTTTTAGAAATAATAGACTCCCTCGTGAATGAGGAGGAGCTCTTTGGAAAGGTGGGTTTGCACGAGTAAGAAAGAAGAGTAACAACCAGAGATTTTTTTAAGTTTATGCTCTAAGTACTACGTAAACTTCAAGGGTATTTTCTGTTCAATTTAAGGGGTTTTAAAAAAGTAAACATGAAACAAAACAGAAACAAAGCAAACTGAAAATGTGGGTTTCTCAGTTTGGAGGATGGTGCCCTGATGCTTTAAGCGCTGATTGGAGATTTTTCAGTGCATATCTGTAGGGCAGGTTTTTTTGTTTCACAGGGGCTACTCCATTATATAAAAACAAATTTTCATTGAGGAGTATTACTCAGCTGTGACAGCTTTCTCAAGCAGCTGATATCACAATTAGAAAGGGAGAGCTACAGTATTGAGAAGATTAATGTATTCATCACTTCAGTGTTAGAGTGAATGGTTGCGAGTGTTCAGTAACTCACTGAGCTACTAAACCTAGAAAGCTGGGCACCAATGTGTTCCCCATGAGAGGGCTAGGCTGCAGTGTAGTTTGTAGCTCAGTGCTGGACTGCAGGGTGTTCAGTAGCTCAGTGCTGGAGTGCAGTGTGTTCAGTGGATCAGTGCTGGACTGCAGGGTGTTCAGTAACTCAGTACTGGAGTGCAGTGTGGTCAGTGGATCAGTGCTGGAGTGCAGTGTGTTCAGTAGCTCAGTGTTGTCAGAGTGCTGGGCTGCAGTATGTTCAGTAGCTCAGTGCTGGAGTGCAGGGTGTTCAGTTGCTCAGTGATGGTGTGCTGGACTACAGTATTCTGTAGCAGTGTGGGATTTCTGGGATGCAGTGTGGAAGGCAGTGGGATCCAGTGTTTCAGAGGTTACATCTAAAGCAGCTGCCAGGGAGACACTAC